GGCCAGCCCCTCCAGCTCCCGCAGCCGCTCCCAGGACGGCCAGGGGGTCGGGGGGCGGGGCGTGGAGCACCCTAGGACTGAGAGAACCCCGAAGAGCATCCGCTGCCCCCTCAACCCCGCACCTCCGTTCCTGCCTCCCTTCCCTCTTCCACGCCCCCTGGGGGAAGCAGCAGAGAGATCCGCGGACCAGACCCCAGAAGGGGCTGGCACCCCTCCTCCGTCCTGGGCTCCGGCCATCCCCCCACCATGCCCCAGCTCCGCCAGGTTTCCCGACTTTCTGGGCTGCTCCTCGGAGTTTGTGGGTGCCCCCACCCCGGAATCTCCCCTTACGGCAAAGACCCACAGCTCCTCGCCCAGCCGATGCCTGGATTCCACCCCCTCCCAGGGCTCCTGTCCGCTTTGCCACGCAAACCCCCATTTCCAGCACCGTGTTGCCCCCCAGCCCAGCACGCTTGGGGTGGAGGGGGCCTGGCCCACCCTTGATTTCAAATAGATTGGACCTCTCCCCATTCCTAGAAGGTAACTCAGGCCACCCCTCGGGGGACCCCAGGCCTTCTTAGGGCCCGACCCAATCTTCAAAGCCAGCCCCAGAGCAAGAACACAGTTCACCCCCCTGCCTCTGCCGTATAACAGGCTCTGGGGATAGATTTTTTTTCCCTTCCAGGACAGAATAAAAATACCCGCAATTTAGGAGATTTAATAGACGGCGAGAAATCAGGTCAGGACTCGGAGGTGCCTCTTTCCGCCCGTGACCTACTTCATGTGACAGCAGGAGTCCGGGTGCTGGAGAATGGGAGAGTGAGGCGTGGGGGGCACCCTGGCTTCTACGGGTCTAGGGTCTAGGAACTGGAAAATCGCAGAGAGGGGTGTGGACGGAGCGTCTTTGCGGGGATTCCCCAAGAGAAAGGACGTGCGTGGGGACCAGAGAAGGAACCATGTGAGCTGGAATAAAAAAGGAACTCAAGACTCTCTAATTTTTCAGAAGCCCAGTTCCTCCTCCCTCAGGACCCAGGGTCCCAAAAACGAACGCCCGCAGTCCTAAACCCTCTATTCCCTTACGGAGCAACGAGGCGAGGCCTGTCTGCAACTCCTTGTCTAATGTAAATCCCGACTTTGCAGACTCTTAAATGCAATCAAATAGGCCGCCGCTTCCAGCTTCGGCTTCTTGCTGCCCTCTAGTGGCCACGTGACGACCCGCAACGCAAAAACCGTGTTTTGCGGTTTCCTTCACTTTCCCGAACCTACCCAGACGCTGTCCACCGACTCCGGCTTCGGCCCGCTGGTCCACTTCTCCTCGCCCCTACCTTCTGGGAAGTCCCTGCCTTCGGAGAGGTGCCAGGACGGGACTGCAGCTCCGGCCTGCGTCTCTTTGTGCATTCCCCAGCTCGGGGTGCCTCGCAGTCTGTTTTATAAGGTCTACAAGGGCTCAGGCGGAAACAGCAACCTGGAAATAATTAGAAACAAATAACATGTAAATGTTTAAAAATGTAAACCTGTAGAACTTGAACGTACATCAGAATCACCTGGGGAACTAGTTTTAAAACAGATTTCCGGGCACCACCCCCCAAGTTTCTAATTCAGTAATTCTGGGATGAGACGGAGAACCTGCATTACTAACATTTCCCCAGGTGGTGGTGCTGGTCCCCGGGGTCGTAATTGAGAGCCACTGCTGCGGAATTCTTGTTTCTTGCACTCTCTCGTCGCTTTTCGTCTGCCCAAAGGAGACGTAACGAACGAAATTTCAATATAAAATTGTGGAAGAAGAAGGGGAAAGCTTTAAGGAAAATTGTTGTTTCACTCACTGAATGTGGGGCCTGAAAAGAACGGAGCAGGGGGCACCCGGATTTGAACCGGGGACCTCTTGATCTGCAGTCAAATGCTCTACCACTGAGCTATACCCCCGCTGCTGGCAACAGCGCCGCGGAAAGCTTCTTAACACTCTTCCACAAGGCGCCGCGAGGCGCTGCGGAGAGAAATAGGGTCCAAGGTTTACAGCAGCGGGAAAAGACATAAATCTCAAGAGAATACACATCTGAATGCAGGGTTTGTTTTCTGAAGCACTGAGCTAAAGGCTTCTACTGACGGTGTAAGAAAAAAGCAATTTGAGCCTGTGGAGTCCCTGGAGATCTTTCGAGATCCCTCACTTCCGGGAGTTCCTTCGAGCCGCGATCCCCTTCTTTTTGCCCTGCTATCGCCCCCTTACTGCTGCTCAACGCCCCTCTCTCCTTCCTACATCGTGACGCGGATTTCTCGGGGCCTTCCTTCCCTAGCCTAAGCCTCGCCCATAGAAACAAGCCTCCCTCCCTAAGAACTGCCCTCGGGTCACTGGCCAGGCCGACCTAGCAGTGTGCCCACCTGCCCGCTACCGAGGAGAGTGGGCCTTATGTACAGTCCACATGGGTCAACCCGAAGGTCCAAGTCCTCTCTCGCAATGCATTCCACACCGGAAGGTCCAAGGCCCCCTCTCGCAATGCATTCCACTCTTAGACACACACGCAAGTGAGCTCGTGGGTTGGGCAGGGCCTGGGCCTCGGTCCTCAGTGACTGCAAAAGAGGATGGCAGGGCCCGGGGCCGCATCTCCTGTCACCTCTAGGAGGACTTACCGAAATAGATCGCAGAACTAAGAAAACTGGAAAAACCTGGGTGTGCAGAGGGGGCACCCGGATTTGAACCGGGGACCTCTTGATCTGCAGTCAAATGCTCTACCACTGAGCTATACCCCCATCTCCTAATGACGTTCTTGTTATGATCACTTTCTTTGGAATAAGGACATGGTATCAATTTGTGTTCTTATCTGAGGATTATGCCAGAATAATTTAATGGGGGGTGGGGGGTGAGGAGGGATAGGGACTGCTAGAATTCCTGAGTTCTTCCTTCACATCACGCCTCAGGAAAACCATCCTGGTCTTGTGGGGTAATAGCGCTGCTCCCTGTGTACAGGGCAGCCTGGCTTTCCATCCTGTCTCCAGCTCGACCTAAATAGGACGCCTGAGCTCTTCCAACCCCTAAGAACCCTTCGTCAAGCAGACAGAAATAAGAAGTGAGTACTTTTCAATGCCATTTATTACACATTTATAAAAAAATTTTTAAAAACTCTAATACAGTGCAAAACATAATCAATACAAAAAGACTGACAAGATACCCGGGTGGTCTAGAAACCTGGGTCATTTGGCAGGAGTGGGATTTACCTTGGAAGGACACTGGGCGTTAAGGGCATAGTCGGTGTGGCTTAAGGCGCGAAAGCTGTGGTCGGAGCCAGAGCCAGCACCTCGGGGATTGG